TCCAGCCTCTTTGTTTACAGGGTTGAGTTGCAGTGGCTGGAAGTGAGTTGAAAAGTAATCTGAGATGTTTTACAGTAATTAGTTGTCCTCGTTGCTGCTGTGGAGACTGCTGTACTGCCTCAGAATGGGGAATCGGGGACTGCAAGGGGGTTGGGGTGAATGTGTAAGTGGGTGGATGGCAGGGTGGGTGTGGGTCCCATCTTTTGTAGCCTGCACTACTCTCCCTCGCCGTCGAGAGGGAATGGGCCGAGGCAGCTGTCACTTACCATGTGAATGTTTCAAGGGCGACCCAGGGGTCTTTAGAAAACTCTCCTTTTTTTTGCCCCCCACCCCATTTTTCATGAAGAAGCAGCATGGAGTTTCTGAGCCACAGTCGGACCCAGAGGAGGGGCTTTGTTGGATGAGAAGGGGGAGAGTGAGAGAGAAAAAATAAGCCTGGGGAAGGTAAAGGGGGCACTTTGCTGCCAGGCTGCCCGGTACAGGAGCAACCTGAGCATCAGCAGCACTGGTGGGAATAGCGCTGCCACGCCGTTATATGGAACTGGCACAATTTGACCTCAATGTGAAAACTGCTCTTGGCTGGGAACTGTGGGAGTTCAACTGAGCCGTTGGAATACATTGTCTCCATCTGGGCGCACTATCCCATCGGTGGCGTTAACAAGGAAAGAATTCCTCCATCGCAGCTCCCACAACAAAGAAGAAAGGGAGAGGAGCAGAGCTGGTGGGAGGAGAAGTGAAGTGACGGGAGGGGAGGGGAAGGGTGCACTGTGAAGGGAGAGGAGGGCATTGTTTGCCTGTGACTGTGGGCAACGGAAAAGCATGAGTTATCAGGACATGTGTGAGTGTGTTTAGAAAGTGTGTTTGTATGCAAGCATGTGTGAATGAGTGCACTTGATTGAGTGTGAGCTGGAGGGAGCATGCATGTGTATGCATTCGGGGAGCCTTCAGTTCAGGATGTTGGAGGTGGGAGGCCATTCAAGGGATGCTCAAACAAAGCTGGATTTTTTTTCTATCTTTGTCTTCTTTTTGAACGGTGATTGAGGAGTAGCTGGATTCCTTTACTCATGCTGTTGGGCTCGACTGTGCTTCGGGGTAAGTGTAATTCACGTAAGCTTCTAACCGCCAAAACTGCCACTAAGTCAGGGCTGGCCTAGAGAGACTTTGGTTTTGCACTTTGCCGGTCAGGGATTAAACTAAGAGGTCGTAGCAGTGAGAGATCCAACTGAAGGATTTTCTGCATTTACTCAGTTCAAGAGGCAATAAAATATTCCAAAGCATCAATATGAATGGATCATTCAAATGTAAGTACATAAGTGTATTTTATTTAGTTCAGCTATATATTCTTTGTGAACATTTTCTCAATTCCTTGTATGGAGACATGCCCCTTTTACAACAGCTACAACTAGCACATTGTATTTTATATAGTAGTGCTGTATTGCACATTTAGAGGACAGTGTGCAACCTTGTACATTATCCACCCTAAAATGTTATGAGTCTCATGGGTGAATGCACAGCTGCCATCCCTGATTAGGGACCACTACAATGATTACTACTTCAGGACCTCCCTCAACAGAAACCAGCACACAACAGTGACACAACATTAAGGCTCTACTGTTCTGATTGATGATTATTGTTCGCCACTAATTACCAGTCCACTCGTATCGAGCTTATTACACCAAATCAGTGTATAAATATGATGAAAAACACACAATACAAATATCCTCTATATGGTATTTTAGATGCTCATAATGCATACACACATATAAATGAATATTGCTAATTTTGATGTTCGTGCTTTTATACTATATACAAGTCCCTATACTATAGTCATAATCCAATTCATCAGGAAATGGACTGCGGTCGTGTATCATAAATCACAGCTGAGAGCAGAGAAAGGGCCATTTGAATTAAGGGCCATTTTAAAGGTGGTTAAGTGATGGGATGGTTAGGTCAATATCAGTTATATAGTAGAGTGGCTCTCTGGTTGCCTGGCTCCCTTTCATCTACCATTGTGCAAAAAGGTGAGAGGTGTATATCAGATCCAGGGATGCTGAGAAGGGATTCTTTCATGAAATAATGTAGGTCACTGTGTTAGTACATGTCCTCCTTAAAAACTGAATGATTATTGGGGGTTTTTTCACTCTATATCAGGTCTAAGGGGTCAAGGCAACATAATGAGAATAAGAGTACATAAGCCTGTGTATTTCAAACAGAATCTCCTTTTTACTGTAGCATGTGATGAAAGTGGTCCTCAGCATATCCTCACACAGTGTGCTGTGAGATCACTGTAAGAGCAGCCGTGTAGTTTAGTAAACGACCACACATGTGGTGCGGTAACCAGAGAAGGCACACCCTCTCTGCTGAATTGTTAACCCATATGGACAGAGCCACAGACACTCTCTCGCTTCCTCGGGAGACTGCTGGGCAGTGATCTGGGCTAACTGGGTAATCATTGATCTTCAGGCTGGGGCTTTGTCTGGGCACTACTCTCTGATCTGACTGTGTACTCCCCTGTGGTTTCTTAACTGCATCATCTGCTCAGCAGAAACATGCATGATGTAGGTAATTGCTAGCTTAATGCACATGGAGGCATCATACCAACATAGGTCATATTTAGATTCCCATCCAGTTAAACACTGTCAGATTTCATCTTACTACAGTGATCAAGCATATGTAACCTTAGCTCCTTTATAGGTGTGCCAATTTGAATGAAACTTTTCACAAACATCATCACACATACAGCTATATATATATAATAAATAAGAATTGAGTCAAACAAAAAAGGAGAACCAAATGAAGGACTTTAAAAAGCCCACCTAAGGCAGATCTGATTTAAATTTGTTTTGTATATTGACAGTAGAGAGACGTTCTCCTTGGCTGTAGACTTTTTTGTCTAAGAAGCTGCAAAAATAAAGAAGCTGCATCTACAGGCTATTTTTTTAGCAATCGATTATGGGTGTAATATACAGAATAACTGTCTATATTTATAGCACTGTACATCCACATCCTCCGCATTCTCAGTAGTTTGAGGAGCCAACATCCCAATTTCCTCTTTGATGACCCATAGAGGCCCCCCACAGATCTTTAGTCACCAAGCATGACCTGAAATGACCTGTAATAATTCTGAATGGACCAGTCCAATCATGACTCAGAGGAGGACCTAACTTCAACAGCACCCCTCCCTGTGCTATCCTGATGGGCTCACCTCAGCTCCACTAGACCGAGATAATTACTCTCACCTTTAACCTTCCTGTTAAAACTGAAGGCTCTTAGCTGAGGGACAGGCAGACAGGCTAACACCGTAAACTGTCACTCATGTAGTAATTTTGATCAGGTTAGATGGTGATCAGATCATTTTTGTATTCAGAATTCTGCAGTAGTAGTGTGGTAATAGGAGAGAGTCAGGCTTTAGTTTTCCATAAAGGTCACCAGCTATCAGTCTGTGTAATAACAGTGTATACTGTAAGGTATGCTACTGATTGGTGTCTGTTACACCAACAACTCCCCCACTACTCTCATGCCGCTTAGTTTTCCTGCACCTCCTCTTGTTGTCACCCTCTAGAAAGGCGATGTCTGCGTGTTAATGGCTGTCATATTTGATCAGATCCTTAGCGGCTTTCCCAGGACTGGTCCAGGCTGAGTTACAGAAAGCGCTGGCTGATTGCCACTGCTTTTTCTGTGCCAGGCTCAACAGTGGGATCCTCGACAAGCCTGTCACATTGATTTCTAAGCCCAGAATATTTCGGTTGGTGATGTGACATAGAGGGGAGTGCGTGTGTTTGCGGGTGTTTATGTGAAATCTAGACAAAGGGATGGGGAGTATCCTGGCCAAGTATCTCTGATGCATTTTCCTATGGTCCTTCAGTGCCAAGAAAAGGGCAACACTGGCAAAGAAATGTAGCAAATGGAGAATGTGAGACACTGATTTACTTTATTTGTTAGCAGTTTTCTGGACGTGTAAGCTATGCAAGGAGTAACTCGTGCCTTTGAAACTGGGAAGCTATGCTTTTAAAATAAGTATTATTTTGTAGATTCACAAACTGAGCAATTATTCATTGCATGATGACCCCCTTGTCTTATTTTAGGTAGCTGAAGAAACTCCCGCATGCATGGCCGCTGGCCCTTACCTGACCTATTACCTCATTAGCCACTGGGCTGAAGGATTATGGGCAACCTCATCAGCCGGCCCAGCTGCCTGGGCCAGAAGTCCAAGCATGTCAGGTCAGATGAGGACTTTCTGAAGGAGTGCTACCAACGAAGAAAAGAGTGGCAGCCCGCAGAGCAACATGGGGAGGCCAAAAAGGAAGAGACTATCAAAGACAAAACCAACGATGATGCGAGCAAGGAAAGAGAGGTGGAGAGTTACAAGGAACCCCAGGAAATTGATCTTAAAAGGGAGCAGGGAGCTGAAACTCCCATTTCAGATAAACCCCTTCACAGCTCTCCTGCGTCAACAATCAGGAGTACCAGTACTCTAGAAAATGCTTGGCAAGGCAGCCCGTCTCCCATAAAAACTTCTCGAAATGGCACCTTGACAAGGAGGACAGTGCCTCCTGAGTTCGCCAGATCACCTCTGGCTCACCCAGAGAAAACTGCTGCAGAGAGGAGGGCCAGCTTCCAGAGGAGAGACTCTAGAGAAGGAAGCCCCTGGTCCTGGAAGAATGTGGCATCACGTGAGGTCACAGAAGTGACAGAGGTGACAGAGACAACTGTAACAGAAATTGTGGAAGTGACAGAGTATCCACCAGGAGATAAAGGAGGGAACCCGATTGTCACCAGAACCGTGAGAGTCTTGAATGGTGTCGCGGAGGAACTTGCAGAGGTTGAAAACAACACGACTCTCAAATATGAGAAGTTGTATCTGGTTTTCTTTTCACTCTTTCCATTATTCTTTCTATCCTAGAACTCTCTCTGTCTGTACAGGCAATATGTTTTTTGGGTATTTCTATATCAAAATTTTTACGAATTGACAAAACACTAGGATTGTCTTTACTTTGCAGCTCCAAAGTTCAAGCTCAGATCAAGATCCCACCCTGGATAAATGGAGGGTAGGTTTTACCCATATCATATTTCTGTTGTAGTTAAGCCGATTATATTTCAGGTGAAACAACCTTGTTTTAAAGAAAACATTTTTTATTCACAGTTAAGAAATTGATACTGATATGTTGTGGTCTTTTGTCAAGGGAACAAGATCTGCCTTGGCACTAAAGGATGTTTCTACAGATTCTGAAACATTTCTCCAAAACCTGGAAGCTTTGCTTAAATGGGTCAAAGAAATAGAGGAGCTCACAGCAAATCAGAAACCCCCATCATCAGAGGTGAAAGTGGTGAAAGCACAGCTCCAAGAACAAAAGGTTTGTTACGTTCAACATCGCATCATAGTTTCATGTTTCCACTGAGTTCTGCAGTGGGCAAAAAGAATTACCTATAGGAAGATGTCCTGAATCCATGGAAAATGCTCTAGTGCTTCCATTTTAAGGTAAATCTGCTCTATTCAGCAGTGAATGGGTGGTGTTTATCACCACAATGAGCTTCAGTAAGTCTTTGTCTACATGTCCTGAGGGCATATAAAAGCAGGGAAGTCTCTCACCTTTCAGCGGCAGTCACACCCATTGTGCGCTCTTTGGAGGAGGTGAAACCTGTCTGGTTCTTGATAAACTTGTGAAACAGGACTCCCCCCTCACTGACTGGCACAAAAACAGGAAGAAAAACAAAAAAAGCAAAAATAAAAGGGGAGGCGGCTTTGAGAAATATTAACAGGTGCAAGCAATGTCGCGTCTCAGAAATCGTACATAAAATGTTAAGAATAGGTTTTCTGTATAGCAGTATCAATAGTGTTTGTAATTCCACATAATATCACTTCACCTGAGATATTCAGCTGTTTCACAGCTCTTGCAGCGTCTCCTAACAGACCGGAGGCGTAGTATGACCTCCATGATGTCAGAAGGCACTCAGCTGGTGGAGGCCCATGTGGGAGAAGAAGGGGAGCAAGTAAAGGTCAAACTATCCACTCTTAATCAGAAGTGGGAGGCCTTACAACAGGAAGCAGAACAAAGGTGAACCACTTTTACTATCAATATTGATTTGACAAGACTGCATCACGAGACAAACATCACTCACTGATTACGGGGACTTTCGTAGGAGGGCAAGCCTGGAGCTCATCCTTCCCAGGGCCCAGCTGTTCCAGGAAGGAGTGGACAGCTTGCAGCAATGGCTCATATCTATGGAACAGACTCTAGCTGAACTTCGAAATGCAGAAAGAGTAATGCTGCATCTCACAGAGGCCTCCGACCGGGCCAAGGTTAGAAATCTAAAGCGAATGGACTGCCATGCAAAGTAAAGGTGGATTGTATTGTTTAAATAGAAGAATAGATTTTCCAATACATTTTAAACACTTTTTTTCTTCCTTCAGGCTGTTGTTGAAGAAATTCAAGTTAAAACTGCTGAACTAGGGAAAATACAGAAGTCAGGTCATGAGCTAATGGAAGCATTATCAGGTAATGTTTACATACATCTTTAAATTAGTTATTGTAGATGGATGTATTAATAATAGAAGTTCTGCCCATGTCTGTCCCTTGTCGCTTGTTTGATAACTCCTTGATTAATCAACACTATTATATGAGAAGACTGAGATGTGATCTACCACTCGTTCAAACAACTTCAAACCAAACACTGCACTTCCTTGTATCCTCAGCAGTACACCTGCCAAGTGTGATGCTGGTGGTTATTTTGATGAATGGCTACTGTGTAAATCTGGATTTACCTTTTCTTTCAGAGGAGGAAGCCCAGCAAGTACAGGAGAAGATGGATGCTTTGCGTATTCGTTGCTCTGTGCTGAGTCTGAGCAGTCTGGACGTGCTGCAGAGACTGGAACAAGCGCTTGAGGCCTCCAGTCGTTGTACCTCCAGCCAAGAGGACCTCCACCTGTGGCTGGGTCGCATTGAGCGGGAGCTCTTGGGGGCAGCAGGGGCACAGACTCATGCTGGAGATGCAGTACTATGTGCAGCTGAGAGACAAAGGGTAATGTTTACACATAATTAAAGGTTTTTAGGGTTTATACAAGGAAATACCACTTGATCGCCATTAAAAAGTGGAAGTGCAAAGCTAATGTAATATGTGGAAAAAAAAAACATTTTCACAGGACTCTGTAAAAGTAATGTGAAGAACTAAGTACACCACCAAATTCAAAAGAGCCATCTAAGCAGCAATAAAGTAATTGCTTCTATATGACTTCATCAATCTGTCATATTATTGTGGAGCTGGGGTTGGCATTTCATTTTCCCAAGAAGAAACTGGGACTGTCTGTTGTAGGTTTCTTGACGTTCTAGGGATTGTTGTCTTGTCACCTGATCTAATTTTGACCAAGCATTAGCTGCCGTCAAGTCAGTGTTGTTGTAGGACAGTCTTGCTCTAATTGCACTTTCATGAACTTTAAGATTTAACCGAGACCTGAAGACTCTGAGAGAAAGCCATTAGGTTTTGTGTAATTTCTTTATTGTCACATGGTGTTTTTTACTTAAGATGTTGGAAGCCTTCAGAACATATCTATTTGTATTTGAATGATAATTGTTTTGTTTATGTGACAATACTGTGTATTTTTAACAGTTGGAAAAGGCAGTGGTAAAGGAGATAGCTTGGTTCAAAGATACAGCAGCCAAACTTGAGAAGCTGAAAACTATTGATCTTGATCCAGAGCTCATCGCAGAACAGGTCTATGAGCAAAAGGTCAGGACACACACACACAGACACGATATATTTTACAGTACATGCTACAGTTTTATAAGTCCATCAATAGGAATGTTTGGTAACTGATTTTAACTTGATTTTAACTTGATATAATGTTACCTGTACAGATTTTAGCAGTTGAGATTCTACAACATCGGTTCAATATTGAGAAGATGGTAAAAATCACTGAAATCTTGATGACATACAGCGATGAAGGGGAAACTGGCGATCTTCGGGTACACTCTCAACTAAAATTTCATCAATGAAGCAAACACATACATGTCTCGGGAGGTTTGAATGTATTTTTTCCACTGTTACATCTCCTGCAGACCCCAATTGAGGCTTTACAAGAACAATGCAACACCACCTCAGCTACCAATTCCCACGTGGTCCTGCAGCTTGAGCATGCTCAGTCACTCCTCCATCAATTCTCTGAGGGCTTTGCTGAGGTTTCACCGTGGCTTGAAGAAACTCAGACCCTGATTGGCCAGCTGTCCCTCACCACAATTAGCTATGAGGCATTTCGGGAACAACAGGACCTTTTACAGGTAAAGAAACCTGCTTTCCCATATCAGAGTGCCAGCTTTTCTCTTCTTTCATCACCCTTTTTGTGCTGGTGAACAATGAAGTCCTTTCAGACTTTATAGCCACTGCCACTATTTTTCTCTGGGTAAATGTGCTAATCTGTTAAACCATAGTTCATTAATGTAATTTACTTCATGACAGGTCTGTTGTGTCAGGCCTGTCACTGCAAGTGACACAAAGGGATTTTTTGTCCTTTCCCTGTTCATTTCAAATGCTTTCTGGTAAATAAAGTGCTCTCTGCATTGTTAAACTTTTTTTTTCTCTCTTGTGCTTAGGGTCTTCGGGAATCTATAGCTGAACATAGACCTTTGATTGCACGTTTATGCTCTCTGGCAAAACGCCTGTCAGAACTAAACTCCATTCAGGGGGATCAGTTCTGCCGCAAGGCCACAGAGGCTGAGGAGCAGCATAGAGCTATTAGAGACCGCGTGAGAGAGACTGCCAATCTACTGGAGGAGTCCTTGCCTCGATTCACTCAGGTAAGAATCCTTGTTTGGAAATGTTCACCAGTTTGTCCTATACTGGTTCACAGCTTAATGTTTTCTTATTCCTCTAGCTGAACGAGAGGATGACTCTTATCAAAGAGAGTCTACACCGCCTGCTCAGTCGCATACAGACACCCACCTTACTTCAAGGTCTCACGCCAAGAATCCAAGAGCAGCTGCAGGACAACAAGCAAACCTTGGCTGAGTTGTCCAAACTTGAGTTAGGCCTCAGCAGCGTCAAAACACAGGCAGATGAACTACTGGCTAACACTCGGGCTGCCGGGGATGGATCAATCAGCACAGGTGACCATATTCTCAGATCTCCTGAAAACACACAAAACCACAAGCTGCAATGTTTTTAATTATGTGGAAAAGTTTAAATTCTAAGCAGTTTGCTTGCCATATCCTTGTGATCCCAGCAATTCAAGAGCGAGTGTCCAGCTTGTCCCTGCTTTGGGATGAGACATATAATCAAGCTAAAGAGAGGGAAACCTGGCTGCTCAAACTCTTGGACCTTGCCGTTAAATACTGGAGCGATGTCGGCGATGTCACAGCTGCTCTTAATGATGCTCAGCAGGCGGTTTTGGATCTCAATGCTAGTCAAACAGACTCTGAAACAATACGTCAGAGCCTTGAAACCATGCAGGTTGGTCTGGAGACTTTAAAAGGAAGCGTGCGTGAAGAACCCATATTGTTAGAAAGACATGTTGTAACTTTTTCCATCTTTTCAAAATATAGACTCTCAGGGAGGATATAGACAGTTTGCAGGGAGATCTGGACAGTCTTGGCGTTCTGGGAATGGAGCTGATGTCAGCATGCGGGGATACTGACAAACCAGATGTCACAAAGAGCCTAGATGAAGTATGAAACATATCTGAAAGTAATTTTTTTCAGCTGATTAAACTGTGCACTGACATAAAACCATATATTTTTGCTGGCTTAAAGCTCTATTGCACGTGGAACAACTTAAGCAAACTATGGAATGAATGTCACAAAAAGCTGGAGGACTCCTTGCAGATGGCACTGCATTATCAAGATACCATGCAGGTATGTGTCCAAGTGCAATACAAAACCATTTATATGGTATGCATAAATTTATAATAACATACATGTCATTATCACAGCTATATTAAATAACACACCACATCTTTTTACTATCAGGGACTGTTTGAGTGGTTGAAATCAGCTGAGCTGAGTTCTGCAGAGGAGTTCGTGGTAGGAACTGACTTGGAGTCAGTCAAAGAACAGCTATGTGACCTCAAGGTGTGTTCATTCTCCATACTGCCCTAGAACCTGCAATTACATTCATTCATAACGGCACCTTTGCCTATTAAAAGTAATGTGTTCTCTTGGTATATGTTTGCGTACGGTATCCCTTGTTTTAGGAATTGAAGCGGGAACTTTACCAAAAGAAGATTGAGATAGAAAGTCTGAACCATCGGTTTGTGTGTCGGCTGTCTCCAGGCTCAGAGCGTCCAGGCTCAATCTCGCCACTGTGTGACTTCAGACAGCGCTGGGACAGTCTGGAGTCAGAGACTGTCAACAGACAGGTAAGAAGATGACAGCAGGTAGAGTGATGCAATGCTAATGCTAATGTGGCTATTAGCTGCTATATCTGCTGTGCCACAACTTCAAAAGACATTTTACTGAAACAAAGGTGAGCTAGCCTGTAATAAATGTGTAAAAATGATCTGTTTCTAATGATATATACTATCCACTCATTATGTTTACAGCATCAGTTAGAGTGTGCTCTGCTGGGTCTTGGTCAGTTCCAAAACACACTGGATGAGCTGCACACTTGGCTTTCCAGGACCACTGAACAACTGCAGGGCAGCCAGCCAATCAGCATTGACCTGCAGGCATGTGAAATAGAGCTGGCTAAACACAAGGTTGGTGGTGGCCTTAATAAATACAGATATACTGTGACTAACATTTCAATCCAGCCTTTCAGTAGGCTACTTTGTCAACGCTGGAAACTTTGTGTGTGTATGTGTGTGTCTTGTTTATTGTATGCTTACACACCACCTATCTGAGTCATCTTATAAGAGTCAGAAATAACTAACACCAGAAAACACTTAGCCCAAAACAATCCAAGCAATACATTGCGGAAATACTATACATATGCATTAAATCTCTTCCCTCCTCCTTTTTCCTTCTCAAAGGTGTTGCGGAATGATGTTATGTCTCATGTTCGCACAATGGAGTCCCTCAACAAGGCAGGCAGGGGGCTGCTGGAGGTTGGGTCCGCAGAAGGTCCACATGGTCTGCAATCTCGATTGGAGCATCTCAATGAAAGCTGGGAGTTTGTCCGCTGTGAGACTGAACGAAGGCAGCTGGAATTAGAGAACAGACTGAGTCAGGTGAAGACAGAATTATATTGTTACACTGGATCAGAAGTCTTTTTGATTGTAAAACACGATTCAGTTTATTTATAACAAATGTTGATGCACGATATATGTATATTGTGTTGGCACAGGTGCAAGATGTTACAATGGAGATTCAGGACCTTTTACAGTGGTTGGAGAATACAGAACTGAGACTGTCCTCTTCTAAAACCATGTGGGGCATGCCGGACTCTGCAAGTGAAAGGCTCAATGCCCACTTGGTGAGGCTGATTAGAGTTTAAAATTAAAAATGTCAACTATAATCCTGGAAACATACATGTGAAGATATTGGTTCTAATTCTTTGGCTCTCCTGACTTGATGTGACAGGAGTTGTGTAATGAGATGGAGTCAAAGCTCCACACCTATACAGATGTGAAGAATGCCATTCACAGGATGCTGGAGAGCAGCGGTGTTGTGCGGGGATCGAGCACCGAACACAACTTGTCGATTCTTGAACAGAAATGGGCGTCTGTTTACAGCAAAGTCCAGGAGCGAAAGGTCCTTTAATGTAGCACAGTCAACACGCTGCCTCTTTGAGATTTGTTTTCAGTTCCAGTGTGTTTTATTTAGTGTGTTTTATTGCAAATACATGTTATTACAGTAAATCAGAGTGTAGGACTTTTTTCTACAGGCACAGCTCACAGAGGGACTCAATTTGGCCAAGGAGTTTCACAGCAGTGTCCAGGAGCTACTCACTAAGATGAGCAAGTGTGAAGAGTCTATGGGGAACCTGCCAGCTCCTAGCTTTGTTCTGGACACAGTTTGTGCACAGCTGCACAGTCACAGAGTAGGTTTTATTTATTTATTTTTTTAAATACCTGTTGTATTTTTGTTTTTATTGCTTCCAATCCAGAGATCTAAACCCTGTAATATGTATTGGCTTTTCATTTATGAAATGCTTTTATCTATACAGACACTGGTGAATGAGGTAAACAATTATGGAGAGAAGAAGACCACAGTGGAGAACGCAGGCCTCAGACTAACTGAGCTCAGCAGAAAGGACGACTGTGATGTTATTCATAACCTAATCATGACCGTCCAGGATCGATACAAAAAGTTACAGCAGCGGACTTCAGAAAGAGGAAGGATGCTGGAGGATGTTAAAAAGAATGCCAAGCAGGTATATGTCATCTCTAATATACAGAGATATGTAACCTTGATCTTTCTCACGCATGTATATGAATATAATGTGCCACACCCACGGAGAGCTTTGTATAAAATGTTTCTATCTCATTCAGTTTAATGAATCTTGGCGCCTCCTGGTGGACTGGATGACAGAAGTCGAACAGACATTAGACACACATAAGGAGATTGCGGTGTCCCACGAAGAGATTAAGCAACAATTGATAGAGCAAAAGGTACATTATAAACATGGTGATATGCTGTATGTGTGTAAGCACCTTTGCTGTTCACTTATGTGTCACTCATTTGCCGATCGCTCTTGTAATTAGGAGTTCCAGAAACTACTGAGATCAAAGAGGCCCATGTACGAGGCAACACTGAAGAGCGGTCGCAGTCTGCATGAAAGAGCTCAAACCTCCCACGATAGGCAGCATCTGGAGAACTTAATGGCTGAACTCAAAGACACATGGGACACCATCAGTGGCAAGTCCATGGAGAGGTACAGAACTGTATACCGTATACAACTGAATTTCTACCAATAAATGAGCCAAACATTCACATTAATACAGATAAATAACCAAAAAAAAAGCGTACTCAAAGTGTTTGTGTTTTCTGTTTTCTTTTAGGCAACACAAGCTAGAGGAAGCACTGCTGTTCTCAGGAAGATTCACTGATGCTCTGCAGGCACTGAACGACTGGCTGTATAGAGCAGAACCCCAACTGGCTGAAGACGTACCTGTTGGTGGAGACAAAGACATGGTCAACAATCTCATAGACAAACACAAGGTACCCACAAATACAGTTTGGAAAAAATCAGCCTTTGCAACCAACCCACAGGACTTATTCTAATGTTTTCATTCTAAATGCAGTGTTATTCATTTCCTCATTTTCATATTAGAGGGTGTAATGCAGTCTTGTACATGAAGTGTTTACTAACAGTTGTATATCACATGTATTATTAATGTATATACGTACAATTAATGTTAAGTGCTACTTGTTGTACTCTGAATTTGCAGCTCATTCTTCACAGTCCTTCCTCATGAGTAAAATAAAATAGTTGGTTTTAGCCTTTTATTCTCTTTCTCTCAGGCCTTCCAGAAGGAGTTGGGAAAGCGAGCCGGATGCATTAGGACCCTGAAGCGCTCTGTGAGAGATCTGACCAGGAGCAGCACGGCCGACGCTCACTGGCTGCAGGAGCAGATGGATGAACTGGAGGGCCGCTGGGAAGCTGTGTGCAAACTGTCAGTCAGCAAGCAGGACAGGCTGGAGGCTGCGCTTCAGCAGGTGTTGTACACGAATAGTAAAGGCTGTGAGGCTGTCCTGTGTGTGCAACAGCTGTTTTAAAAGTAGAAGCTGGAATTTTGACATTCGGTATTAAATACTGATCCGACTGTGTCACTTAATCTGTCAAGACATAACCTTTTGCACTGATACTGATAGCTTCTGCACAAAAACTGACAGGTAGTCGTGTTTCTTTAAGTTTTGTCAAAAGTCATGAAAAAACACATGATGTGAAGCACTAATAAGGAGCTAAACTCCCCTCCTCGTTCTTGTTAGGCTGAAAAGTTCGACGGGCTCGTTCATTGTTTCATGGAGCGGCTCACTGAGGCCGAGAGGATCCTAAAATACGGGGTCATACCAGAGGAGGAGGAAGGTCTGCTTTCCTTCCGCAAACAGCACGAGGTCAGTATAAAATTTTGTCACTCCCTGTAGAGAAATTATTTTTTTTCCAGCTTATCAGCTTCCAGTGAGTGCAGAGGACAGACTCTGCTACAGAAGAAGCTGGTGCTGATAAGAGTTTAGTGTTTGGCTGAAGGTCAGTTAAACAAAGCTGTGCTTGAGCGTAGCTGTAAGGACGGCTACCTCGAGCATCAAAAAACTCATCCAAGTCTTTTTATTGCTCCGCCACAGGAGTCGCTGTCTGCCTTGCAGGCTCAGGCAGTGGAGCTTGAGAACATCCAGTGTTTGGGTGAGGAGATTCTTGCCTCCTGCCATCCAGACTCCATAATCACCCTAAAATCGTGGATCAGTGTCACTAAGACACGCTACGAGGAAGTGAGTGCCTTTGTGCCAAAGTAATACACACAAGGTTCTATTTTCCTTTAATTATATTAAAAAACAAATCATTTGATTGTTTAGGTAACTGTTGCTATCAGTCACCAAAATGGCTTGAATGCTGGAAGACATTTTATCAATGTATAAACAGCGAGCTGTGTAATTTTCTCCCCCTCTTTTGTTTTCCGAGTCAGGTTCAGACCTGGGCCCAGCAGCAGGGCCAGAAGATCCAAGCCAGTTTGACAGCACTGGAGACAGAGAGAGAGGAAGTCCAAAGACTGCTGGACTGGATCTCATCAGCAGAGGAAGCCCTCAGCCTCAGAGATCAAGAGCCTCTGCCTGAGGCCACAGAGCATAACCAAAAACTCATTGAGCAACACACAGTATGAGTTCTTTTTCTTTGAGAGCACGAGTTATTTACCATGTTTGCACTGCAAAACCCCCAGTTTTACAACATGCTTACTGTACTTTGTAGTCTCAGTTATGGACTCCTCTCCGCAGGTATTCATGGAGGAGTTAAATAAAAAGTTCCCAGAGGTAGAACATGCCACAAAATCCTGCAAACACAAGAGCATTTCGAAGCAGCAAGTTTCCCCAAGCAAACGGCCCCTCACCAGTAAGCCACTGTGAAAACAGCATTCTGTGCATGCATTCGTAAAGGGTTAAAGGTTGAGTAGCTCACTGCTAATGACCTGTCAAGCACATACAGTATCATTTGACTGAGATGAATGATGACTTTCTTTGTCCAGAGAGAAGGAGCGCTATGAAGTTGCAGCCTGCTATACCAGTCCCCCTGGAGCACCTTGACCCTCAGACCCCACAGCTCAGTCAGCTGGTCAGTGAGTGGCAGAAACTTTGGCTCCTGGCTGTGGCGAGACAAAACCGCTTGGAACAACACCAGCAAATGCTCAAAGAGGTCATTGTGCTTTTTGCAACATAACTGTAATAACGTTGAGAGACTCTGGTACCATTGTAGGTGGCCAAGACAATAAAAATGTTTTTGAAATTATTATTAGGAGAGACATTTTGACATTCAAAGATTTAAAAAGGTTGTGATATTTTGCTGTTTCCCACAGATGGAAGAATTTGCAAACTTTGACTTTAACATTTGGCGAAAGCGTTACATACAGTGGATTAGTCATTTGAAGTCTCGGATCTTGGACGTGTTTCGCAGCATCGACCGGGACCAGGATGGACGGATTAGCCAGAAGGAGTTCATCGATTATGTTCTTGCCTCTAGTGAGACTTTCTTACCTATAATAATCAGTTCATTGCTGATACTAATGTAGCTCTCATTCTGGATTATAGTGCTTTAACTCTTTACGTTAAGATCTGCATGGCTGGTGTTCAAGATAAGGCTTTGTACTCCTTCTGTAGAATTCCCCACAAGCTCTCTAGAGATGAACGCTGTCGCCAACATCTTTGACATGAACAACGACGGTTTCATCGACTACTATGAGTTTGTGAGCGCGCTCCATCCCAGCAGAGATCCCTACAGAAAAACACTGGATGCCGATCAGATCAATGAAGAGGTAAGAAGAGCGTGTTCAAAAGGAATAATTAAGAAAAAGTTAAACTAATGTACTCCTTATGAGGTTTTTCAACTCATGCTGTCATTATCCTGCCTTTATTAGGTGAGCCGACAGGTAGCACAGTGTAACTGTCCCAAGAGGTTTCAAGTGGAGCAAATAAGTGCCAACAGATACAGGGTGAGTCAACTGTTAGTCACTGATTCAAAAGATATGCAACTTCATATTTAAAATGCTAAAATCCTCGACCACAGAGGAAATTTATGTCTTACATGGATTTCCTCTGTCCATCAGTACTTGTAACACTGTAATATTATATTATTTAATGTTTGCTCCAGTTTGGAGATTCCCAACAACTGAGGATGGTTCGAATCCTGCGTAGCACATTGATGGTCAGAGTCGGAGGAGGCTGGACTGCTCTGGATGAATTCCTGGTTAAAAATGATCCCTGCAGAGGTTGTAATAGTCATTATTTCCTGCATAACTAAATGCCTTTCTTTCAAAGACAAGCTGTTACAAACCATAAAGGATAAAACATCTCCTAACATTGCTTTTTCAGCTATATCTAGTTGGCCAATAATGGCCTTTTCATTTGACATTCAGGTGAATTAGATTAAAAAGTGAAAGGTGAAACAAACTAATATCAACAACTGACCAATTCATGTTTAGCACTAAAAAAATCCTTTTGCAATCAAAAAGATCTACATGTAGAGCCATCAAGGCTAAAATCGGGTTAAATCTGGTCAAAAGTAAAGGTCAAATAGATGACTAGATCACAGCTGGCATGTTGACCTCTTATATTTAAAGAAAAAAATGCAAACTTTCTGTTTCTGATGGGCTCCTGTTGTTATTTGTCACATGGTAAGCTGATTAGGACAAGCCTGTGGACATTAAAACATTATTTTTCCCATGTGGAAAGACAGAACGGCAGATTCCAGGTTTGAATCTGTTGGTTGTGGAAAGACTTTGTAAAGGTCTTTATGAGGAAGAGTGTATAATTATACATGTCTGTGAAGGTTCTCAGTCATCCAGGTCAGCGTAGTCTAAGGAGCTTGGAAAGAAAAGCATCTGGACTTCTTTAAGTTGCTTGAAGACGTTTCACCTCTCATCCGAGAAGCTTCTTCAGTTCTAAGGTCAAATGGTGGAGAGTCCCAGATTTAAACCCAGTGGGAGTATCCCCCCAAAGAGGGACAAAGGACCCCCTGATGATCCTCTAATCACATGAGCCAAGGTGTGAAAACGGGTGTGGGTCACAATCAGCCAGGGTTTCGGGTGAGCTCATTGTGAAACCTGGATCCACCCTATCATGTGATTTCTTGAGGTCAGATGGCCCAGGGTGTGAGTGGGTTCACCCAAAAGACAAAACTCCAAAACACAAACTTAACAATGTGGTGTAAGCTGTACAGTGCAGCGAGGAATGCCCAGACCTCTACATTGGAGAGACCAAACATCCACTTCACAAGCGCATGGCACAACATAGAAGAGCCACCTCCACAGGACAAGACTCAGCAGTCCATCTGCATCTAAAGGTCAAAGGTCACTCTTTCAAGGATGCCAATGTTCACATTTTGGACAGAGAGGATAGATGGTTTGAAGGAGGAGTGAAATAAGCCATTTATGTCCACTGTGAGCGACCATCTTTGAACAGAGGCGATGGTTTACGACACCAACTCTCTGCCATCTATAATCCAGTTTTGAGATCCCTCCCCAGACGCCTAAACGCCCACTCACACCCTGGGCCATCTGACCTCAGGAAATCACATGCTAGGGTGGGGCCAGGTTTCATAATGAGCTCACCTGAAACCCTGGCTGATTGTGACCCACACCCATTTTCACACCTTGGCTCATGTGATTAGAGGATCATCAGGGGGTCCTTTTGTCCTTCTGTGGGGGGAAACTCCCACTGGGTTTAAATCTGGGACTCTCCACCATTTGACGCTTTTCTTTCCAAGCTCCTTAGACTATAATTATACACATTTTTTTTCTTTTCACCCTTCAACCAAATCTCAACATTCTTTAGACATCTTGCAAAGTTGTCTTCAACATATTTTAGCCATCTTTTCACTGAGTTTTTGTTGGGTTGGAGGGGTTGTTAACACAGCGTATGTGAAATAACTTTAGTCTTATTAATATCTACATGTTGGCTGACTATAATAATAGGTGTATCTATAAATAATGAGAAGTTTTGCCATTTTCTGTAAAATCCCTCTGTTGTGTCTCCAACAGTAAAAGGTCGGACCAACCTGAAGATAAAAGAGAAGTACTTGTCCCCAGCTGGGAGCACCTCTAAAGGTTTGACTGTCAGCAGGTCCAACTCAAGCCTCAGCCTGTACAGCAGTGCCTCTGCCCCCACCAGCCCCATGACACGCAAGGTAAGCTTTAAGCTGCGGGTAAAGCAACTTCCTATCTTTCTAATATTGAAATGAGAGAATTTCCATAACAATGTAGGATCAAGTTGCACCTTTCTACCTCTCAAATGAAGAACAGTAGCAACCAGAAAAAATGTAAATGTATTTTATTATGGAGACATTTATCAGTAATTGGTGTAACATATCTGGCTTTAGGCATTACTTCGTAGGAGTTTCTCAGGTGACCGCTGCATTCGCCCCAGGAGCTCCATAGCTGCTTTGGGGTCTGACCTACAGTTTGCCACAACAGGGGAGGATAACTCTCCATCACCACCAGGTTATTTTTTATTTTTTGCTTGATTTTTTTAGGCAAACTGCTTTCTCGTGCATCCAGTAAAGTTGCAACATTCACTTTTAGAACTTGAGAAACTTGTTGTGTTAACCCGATTCTGTCTGTTTTCATTCTTTTGCACCTTCTAGACGAAACTGAGAGGTTGCCCACATGATTATCTCTCCTTCTGAGCACCCTGAGTATGCTGCAGCGCTCAACCCAAACACAGCCTTGAAGCCCCAAAAGAATGACAAGCAAAAGTTAGGTGCTAGAAGGGGCCTGAAAATAATGGAATCATTCACATTTGACCAGGTGACCGCATTTGACCGAAAGTGCTGCTAACAGGCGTGCAGCTTTGGGTAATCTGGGTGAGAAGAATGTCTCAGTGTGGACAATGAGGGGTCGGTCCAGATGCAAGGCAGAGATTTTTTTTGTCCCTTTTTTCTCATTTCATATATTTGTATCTGATTGCGTAGAGGGTAAGAATTTCTGCATGGATACTTGCTGCATGATAGCCAGAGCATTGCTTTAATCAGAACTGCTTTTATTTTCCAAGCCTGCTAAAGATGAGCTAAAGTCGGACGGTGTCGGGAGATGTCAGTAACGCTCTGTTACTGATTCAAGGTGACATAGTGCTAAGACTCACATATGATGGCACTGAAAGGTGTTGTGTTATCTGACTCTGCTATCCACATCCAAAAAAAATACTCATATACCAAAATCATAACTATATAAAGGGTACAGTATGCCGTCCGTCAGCTTTGTAATATTTTTTTTTGTTTTTATGTCATACCATGATGAGGATATTGTTGGCAGGGCCACACTTTCTTTTGTCTTTTAATTTTTTTGGACAGCATGTTTTCATATAAATGTATTTTTATTCTTTATTGTAAGGATGCTCTAAACACTGGAGATTGTTTAACGAACAATGCACTGAAGTACGACGGGCCATTGTTGATTTGTAGAGATTCTTTTTCTCAGGACTGGTTGTGTCTTTCGATGTATGTTTCTATGGAACATTACTGTGAACATGTAGATGTGTTTTTTTTCTTCATAACACTGTACTTAGAAAATTTTCTTTAGCGCATTTGTCTTTATAAATATGCACTTTTCTGTGTCCAACTACTGTAGATATGTCGTGCTAAGTAAGAGGATGTCTTACATATGATTTATACAAACTATAATTTTAGTTTGGGGTTCATAAAAAAATAATGTTGACAATTTTATGTCATGAGAATGCAGTGGTTGTATATTTAATATTTCTATTAGTTTCTATGCTTTTCTGGCATTTTAAGCAACACAGTATCGTTTTTTTGTTTTGTTTTCTGCCATTCAATCAGTTCAGAAACTCTCACATTTGTTAATTCATTATTTGCCTTCCAAAGATGTTAAAAAGAACAGTCAACACTAGTTTCCTTAATAACAACACATGAGCCTGGACATAACAGTATGTATTGTTTCAGCAATAAACAACAAACCACATTTATCTTGAGAAATAATCAACTACAAGTCCATCATCATCATCATCATCATCCACTGGTAGTGTTGCAAAGCTTTTATTCTGCGGGTTAATCATAGACCAGTTAATACTTTACAATATGTGTAACCACTATGTTTGTAAGTGTCCCTTTGTACTAGATCCACCTGAGGTTGAGTAGCTTCAGTAGCTTATGTCATGGCATTTGGTCTATGCAGTTGTCAACTAAATTTTTTAAAGTCAAAAATGTTTTACGTGATGGAATACATTTTCTCTTTGCCTCGTGTTTGGAGACAGTTGATAATTTACTGTACTGTAAAAAATTAAAACAGCCAGATTTCACTTCGATTGCTATGCACCCTGATCTTTCTGTACTGTAAATGTTTCTATACCCAGCACTCATTCTGATGTCTAACTTTAGATGAATGTCACTAATAATTTTACATCCACTTGTATAAAAAATAAAACTTTTGTATAAAAATATGAAATAGTTTGCTATTAATATTATTACATTTGCTAATATATAGTTCTAGGGTTGGTACCTACCAAAATGCCCTCTGTGGAGGAGGCAGAAGACCAACTACAATGGCAGAGGTTACTGGGGTAGTTAAGAAGCTCCGTGGTGCCAAGTTGCCAGGCTAGTTTACTGGGGTGAACTGTGGGAGTATGGAGTGTGTCTGTTGTTACAGGCCACGGAGTCTATGTATAATCAAAGTCAGAGCTGTCCACATTTCTGGCACAAAATCAGGCATGTTTTCAGTGGATGTTGGGCTCCACCAGGGTTGAACTTTATCTCTAATCCTATTTGTCATATTCATTGACAGTTGAGGTGGTTCAGGTATTAAGTTAAGATGTTTTATGGGCTGCTCCCTATGAAGGTTTTCCAACCATGCCAGACTGGGAAGAGATCTCAGGGTAGGCCCAGAACATCTTACACTGTTGGAAAGCCTCGTTGCTTTTCTCAAATGGTGCCAAATTTGATGCATTTGTCAGTTCAGAGTTGAGGATGTGGGTTGCATCAATGAAAGACAAATCCTCTCTGTCAAGGCATGCTTGGACAACTGACCGCTATAGCTGGGTCAATGCTTACAGGTGGGCACCAGATGCTCAAAACAAGATTCAATAGCAGTATAAGCTGATTGGCTAATTATTTCCTTTTAAATTCCAAAAAACATTTTGTTTGATAACATTAAACTGAATCTGCCATATTACCTGACATGGTATGACAAAGAAACATCTAAATATTAGGCTAAAAGAATATGTCAGTCACTTTAACTACAGAATGTGTCTGAAGGTCAAGTGTTTATGATAGATTCTCAAAGAAATGTAATCTGTTGATTCTCAGGAACATTGCCCTCCTGTTGGTGACTCTTTCAGACTCCGTTGCAGAGTACATGCAGTACCAAAAACACAGACATATTTATTTAAACATGGGGCCCAGCTGTTTTGAAAAAGAAAGCAGGGTATTGTACTTCTACACAAATATTCATTATGAATCCAGGTCACAGGAGTGCCCTTTAGCCTACTTCCAGTCCTGAGTGGCTTTTTGTTTTGGTTGTTTTTTTTTCTTTTT